GCTTCCTTTTTTTTTAGTGACTTGTATTCCCTCAAATTTATATGCTCCCCCACCCACTTTCTCCTCTACTTTTCCCTTTTATAGTTTTTTTAACCAGCTTCTTCCCCCAACCCACTCGTTTAAATGTATCCTTTCAGTCCCATTTATTATAATATAATCATTATATTTGGCAAGACAGTGCCTTTCATTGTCAGAGGGAATCCCAAAGTGATTCACAGAATATGGTGTAAAATGCAATGACTGTTTTGTGGGCAGTTAACCTTTCCACTGGAACCTTGATACCTCCTCAAGTAACGACAATCCTCAGGTACAGCTCCGCCCACACTTGTTCCAGAACTGGTGCCAGTGTCCCACTAAAAAAACCTTACTCCCGCACCATTCCCTCACTTCCACTTCACCTCCTTGATCTGCCTGCCCATGTTACCTGTTTGTGTGTGACTGGATGTAATGTGGGAATTATCATTCTCATAGCAAGTTTCCTTACTCCACACGCCTCATAATAATCCCTCCAAAACCAAAAACAATAATAAATTGGTCATTTTCAATCTACGACTGTTTGTGGGACATTGCTGTGCGCAATTGGCTGCCGCATTCGCCCACAAATATACAGTCAATTCACTTTACAGTGTGTTCTGTGAAGCGCTTTGGGACGTCCTCCCGACATGAAAAGTGCTAACATCAAATGCAAGGATTATTATTATGGAGATCCTGCCCTTTAATTAAATCTTTAATTTCTGACAGTCACCGAGAAGGACCTCCCTTGAGTACTGCCCTATGTGATTGGTTCCCATGTAGACTACAGCTACTAGTTGCTCACCCTCCATTTCCAAGTTCTTTCCCAATCGTCTCAAAACATCCTTCTCCATGACTCCGGGGAGACAGTATAGCTTCCTGTGCTCTCGATTGTGACTGCAAACAATTCCTTTATGACTCTAATAATTTAATCTCTTGTAACATTAATCCTCTCCTTAATTTGTTCCTCCCATGAATTACAATATGTGCCACGGTGCTGTGATTAGTATGTTGGTTGTCCCCCCAGCTGGCCTCCTCCTTATCCCCACTGATGACTAGTTCATTGTACTTGTTGAAAGCACTGGTCCTTCTGGTTCTCTGATAGCACCAGGTTCTCTTGTTCTTCTGTCCCTGCCTCTGTTTGCCACCCTCCACCCTCATGACTGACTGTCACTCATCCTTTTTTTTTCTTCCTTCACTCTGATCTTTTATGCTGCATTGATTTCATAAACACCATGATATTACTGCATTATGACAACCACATTAACTGTTTTAATCTGGTTGCACACCAATCGGTGTAGGATTTCAAGAGTGTTGTTTTCTTTATTCAACAAAATAAGTCTCCTTTCTTGGGCTGGCTTGACTAGAATTGGGCAGGACATCAGAGGGGAACTCTAATTGGCTTCATGCCTCTGGGAAAGAAAGGGAAAAAGTTGAGAATGGAGATCAAACCATAGAGCTTGATAAACTAGCAGGATAAACTTACTAAACCATTGGGGGGCTGTCATACAATCTATAATCCCTCTTGCTGTTTTTCTTTTTCCGCTCCCCCTCCCCGACAGGGCTTGGTTAAGGACAAGCCCTCGATTACGTATTCAAGGACTTGATCAAGCTTACTACATTATCTCACTGCAACTGAGGAATGTTTCTCCTGGTGCTTGCAAGGCTTGACTAGTTGTCCTCTGTCACAAACTGCTGATTGTGGACCTTCAACGCAGTTCTCTTTGTCCACGCCCCACTTCCATATTATGTGTTTCTGAGCATGACCATCCCAGAGGATCCATTATGTACAAGATCAGGATTTAAAACATTTTGTAAACTGAGCAATCTAGATTTGCAGGCAGAACTGCAGATAGCAGAGATGTATATTGCCTCTCAATAGATCCCTGGAGAAATAGTCTTTATTTTTTTTAAGAAATTAGGTTCATTGGCTGGCTCAGTTGGTAGCACTCTCGCCTCTCGTCAGATGTCCTGGCCAACAATCCCCCAAACTCAAAAATTGGTCTTTTACCACAGGCTGTTTGTGGGCCATTGACCTACCATTATCTGGCTTGCCGAGATCAAAGAAAAAGTTGCAATGGTAATTCACGCATGTATGATCATCTTGATGTTCCCGCAATGCTTGTTTGAAGTTGTCACACACTGATTTGCCGGGCACTTTATGTGATTGAGATTGAATTCCAAGTTATGGAAGCAACGGTGTATCCGACTCTGTTCCAGAGCTGGGGAAAACCAGCGATTCACAATAAAGAGATTTTTTTCGGAGACAAACTTAGTGTCAAAGCAATATGATAATAATAATCCTTGCATTTGATATAATGCCTTATCACATCTTTGAGACGTCTCAAAGCGCTTCACAGAATATACTGTAAAGTGAATTAACTGTATACTTTGTGGGCGAAACACAGCAGCCAATTGCATACAGCAGTGTCCACAAACAGTTGTGGATGGAAGTGACCAATTTATTAATTTTTTTTAAAAGGAATTATTACCCACAGAAAAAAACAACTGGGTTCCTACTTACTGCTAGGTAAACAGAGGCATGTGGAGTAAGGAAGTCCCCTGGGGGGTGATAAACTGAAGTGAATGATTTGGAAATGTGATTTGCCTTATTCATGCCCTTCAGTCTGCGCACACTTGCGTGTATGTGTGTATGTATGGGTGCTAGGCACACACTAGAAATTAGACTTATTTGCTTATTTCAGACCTTGTTAGTTTTGTGCTAAGATTTTTTCTCTCTTAACTCTTGTCTGGTGCGAAAAGAATGCATAGGGCGGCAACGAACCAACCCCATACCAATTTTGCAATTTACTAATGTATGTAATTAACACTTTGCCTCAGTTTTCTGCCTGAAATCTTCCAGCTCTTCCTTGGTTGTCCTTCTTACTGTGATCTCATCTGTTTCGTAGTTTATTTCCCAACCTACAAAGGTGTCTTAACCAGGCCAAATATTTTTGCGCTGTTAGATTGCTCTTCTATTCTCTGGATCTACAGTATGGTATCCACTCCCTGCCATTTTATGGTTCTGATATCAATATTGATTGTATTCACTGTCCAAGTTTAGCTCTCTATGCTAGTACAGAGTTTACATATGAGTGTTGCACAGTCTTCTTCATTTATAGCTCCATTCTCTCATTCCTCCATATAATCTATTATGGGACTGCTTTCTGTGGGATTTCCATCTCTTCTGCTTAACTTCCAAAGAACAGTACTCAAGAACAGACTGTGTTGATAAGACAAAAATATACATACTGTAGTACTTTGGAGTGTGCTGACAGAACGAAGAATGCTTTGCCACAATTGACTATTAAGGCTAAGATCATAATTTTTAAAAAAAAGTAAATTGGACAAATGTTTGAAGAGGAGGGATATAAAAGGGTGTGTGTGTGTGGGAAGAGTTTGGAATTGGGATTTGAGTGGTTAGCTCCAGTGAAATAGCTATCACATCTATCGCTAGGTTAGTCTCGATGGGCTGAATGGCCTCCTATGTTGTAATTTCCATTAGAGCACTTAGTAGAGCTGTTACGGAGCAGGGAAGGACATAAAGCTGAGGCCTTAACTGTCATGCTCTACCCCTAATTGTGCTACCCCTAAAATCTCGGAGTAATCTCTCTCTTTTTACCTAGCAGTAAAGAGGAACCCGGTTGTTAGTCGATTGGTGGATCACTTTGGGGATAATAATCCCTCAAAAAATAATAATAATATGGTCACTCAATTTGGTCATGACTGTTTGTGGGACACTGCTGTGTGCAATTGGCTATCTCAATTCACCCACAAATAGAAGACGTGAAAAGCGCTATATCAAATGCAAGGATTATTATTATTATAGTCTGATACTGTTAGTGTTTGGGACCAAACAAATGTACGTCACAGTAGGAGACCATTCAACCCATTTTTTAGTGTCTGCAATTGCTCCTTCAAGAAGAAATTGATCCTAAGGAGGATGGGAAAGACTGTGAATGAATATTCCAATATGATGCAAAATATGTGTGCACTTTCCTTGATTCTGTACTTGGCAGATTTTATGCGGAAACCATAGGAGGAATGACCCCCTCTGAGACTATCCTTCATGTGGTGTTCTGAAATTAGGAAATGCGTACAGATAAGTTTTATGGATCTGCTTTTTTTTATGTCAAATGCAAATGGGACTTAAAGGTTTTAAGATTGGTCCACATACAGGGAAGCAAACCGTAAAGGTTAAAAGCTGACAAATGAAGTCTGACACTTTAAGAGATAATTTAGTTTGACTGGGTACCAGTATTTGAATAAAACCAGATTCTATCGTCTACATTTCCGTGTGGGTGGAAAATTTCTATTATTGAAAGCTGTTTAACTGATTTTGTGTGTGGGCGGGGTGGGCGGCAGAGAGTTTTTTGTCAAATAATTCTTAAATTTGCTACAGCACGTTTTACAATGGGAGAATGTCTCAAAGCACTTCACAGGATACATCGTAAAGTGTAGTGACTCTATTTTAGGCAAATGTGACAGCCAATTTCCACAGAGCAACGTTCCACAAACAGCCATGAAGTGAATCACCAACTTTATTTGGGGGATTGTTGGCCAGCACACTGGAAAAAACTCCCTACCCTGTGAATATTCACTGATTCTCACCACCCTCCCAGATCCTTCTGCATCCTGCACTTCCTCAAAAGACCAGAACTCATTTCATGCTGTACTCAATTTGATTAAAATAATTAATTCCAGCATTTTATTACAGTTTAAATGTAAATTAAAGGGGCAGTGAATTGAAAAGGTTTTTTTGAAAAAAGAAATTTCCTTTTAATGAACTTAATTCCTTTTACTTTGCATTCCTTTACACGTCTACACATAGGAAGCCTTTGTTTGTGCTTTAGTTTGTTAAGCACACAGTGATTGTAAGACTTTGAATCAGTGGAGGTGTGTCTTCATCTAGGAAACTGGGAGATAGATACCTTTTGGTGCAGATTGTCTATTAAGTCAGTGCAGTTAATATTTAACCTGAGGCATGTGAAGTACTGCAGCGTGGTCGAGCTCATGTAAAGTTGCTGGTGCCTGCAGCTCCCAGTCTTAGTATTTTGTTTTAAAGTTCACTAGCTATAAAGGGCTGAGCAGTATTTTACATCTGGCGACCAGGAATGTTTGTTCCTCCCTGTGTTGTTCTTGGTGAGTAACAGCTACTTGTTTTCTTCTGATCCTGACATTTTGAAGACCTTTGGTTTCCATTGGTTCTTTTTAAGTGGTTATGCACCCACCAGATTGCGATTGAGGTGTCGCCTTACACTCCTATGATTAAAGTAGCTAATTCGGGTAGGAGGTGATACCCAGATCTCAGTTTTCACTGACTTTTATTCTGACCAGTAACACTGTCCCCTTCTGCTGTGCCTGCTGAATGTTCTACACTAGTCAGTCAGGAGCTTTAATATGTCACCAAAAGGTAAGAAACATTGCTTTACAAAAATTCAGATAATTGGGTGCTTTCAAAAGAATATCACAATCTTTCTTTGTCGTATCCTGCTTATTGATCTGTGATTGCAGGAAAATCTTACAATCCCCTTTTTTAAACGTATTGAAAACTACTTGCACTTTTGAATTGTGACTTTATATCGGTGAAAGTCTCAAAGTGCTTCTCAAGAATGGTGGGGGATATCTCCAAGTTGGGAAGAAAGGAGGAGGAACTTGAAGTTTTTGGTCAGAGAGAGACATTTTTTTAAAAAAAGGCATGGAGGGAAGACGCAAGCCAGAAAGATTTGGAAAAAGTTGTTGAGAACTTGGGCATAGGTGGCTAAAGGCTATTTTGAGATGTGTGCAATATTGCCTGCAACAAGCTTTCATTTTGCTGATGTTGTGTTGGAAGTCTGCTGCATCAAACTGGATTGCTTGCCTGCACTTTGTTTACTGCGTGAAAACTTCAGTAAAACTCAGCTACTGTTCTTACCGTATTTGCATTTCGTGGACCAAAAGACCTCACTTGTGCAGTAACCATGTAGTGGAAAATTCTGGTCTGTAACCTTTAATAGACAAAGTTTCAATACTCATTGTGTCTGTGTAATATGGCAAAGGTTGTCCAGTATAGAAATGTTCACCGAGTTGTGTGAGCCTCCAAATCAACTTTGATTGGCGAATAATCAAGATGGGGGAAGAGGTGTTTAGTTAAGATAAACTTATGGCATTTTACTTAATTTTATCTGGATATTATCTTATTTAGCCAGTGTTTAAGTTCCATAAATTCCAAGATTGCGAGCTCGCGTGCATTGCAAGATATGGCATTTCAGCTATTTCCTCAATTTGTCAGTCTGCCCAGTGTACCTGCCATTCCCTGGCAGAGTTGGCCGACAATCCTCTCTCTATGATGTTTCCAGATGGCCATTTGGTAGTTTGCAAGAGCAGTCCACATTCTTGAGTTCGTTTTTCCTTCCTCCTCCTCCTCACCAGCCTTATCTGACTGCTGGTTCCTCTTTTAGTGACTCGGCATTTAATAAGGACTAACACTGACCATGAACCTGTCTTGTCAACCATGTTTTGCCTTGCTGAGCCTGTGAAATGCTGCGTTAATGGAGAGTTCCAATACACAAAAGTCTCTCTTGTGAGCAAATGTTTGCACAATTTCCTTTTATTTCCAAGATTCCTTTTTCTGGGGGGTGGGAGGGAAATGCCCTTATTTTCTTATTTTTGGGGGAAAGGCTGTGAATGTGTAGCCAAAGCCAGGACCGAGATAGATAAGGTGTTTAAAGGAAAAAATGGCAAGTCAAGAAAACTTGTTTACAAATGTGGTTAATAAATAATAGAATATAATTTGGCAGGAAAAAACAGGAAGTTCTCTACGGCAACCTCCTGTCAAGCCTCCTATATTTGTGTAACCTGCTGCTAGGTGTGTACAATGCGAGAGACCTGGGTTCAATTCCAGGCAGGGTGAAACCTTGGGCAAGTTTCCTTACTCCACACGCCTAATAATAATCCCTCCAAAACCAAAAACAATAATAAATTGGTCACTTTCAATCTACGACTGTTTGTGGGACATCGCTGTGCGCAATTGGCTGCCGCGTTCGCCCACCAATATACAGTCAATTCACTTTACAGTGTGTTCTATGAAGCGCTTTGAGACGTCCTCCCGATGTGAAAAGCGCTATATAAAATGCAAGGATTATTATTATTATTACAATGAATAATAACAACAACATTTGATATATTTGATATTATGTTGAGATGCCTCAAAGCCCTTCACAGAATATGCTGTAAAATGAATTGACTGTATATTTTGTGAGCAAAACAACTCCATTATTGACCTTGAAGGTATAATAATAATCCTTGCATTTGATATAGCGCCTTATCACATCGTTGAGATGTCTCAAAGCATTTCACAGAATATATTGTAAAGTGAATTGACAGTATATTTTGTGGGCAAAATGCGTATTTAACACACTTAAAAGTTCAAAATTGGAAATCTAGGTTGTCGGGATCTTTTGACTTTTAAAGTAAGGAAAAATTTCACTGACAGGTTGTTTAAGATACTGTGCTGATTTTTTTTCCCCAGAGAGCGTAGACTGTATTTCTAGCTCTGATTCATTGCTACCAAGAACACCGAGCAGTTGAAAAGATTACATTTTATGATTATTTTCTTGCTGCTGAGCGACATTGCTGCTGTTCTCAACTTCACGTTCCTCTTCAAAGAACACTCGATGCAGAATTTTAAGAGTGAGGCTATTCTAGTTGACAGATTGCAGCATTAAAGTGGTTGTTTAACGATCTGTTTTTAATGATTGACGCTCCTGAAGAGAGTGGTGAAGTTTTGATATGGGTGGGGGGAGGGTGTAGGGTGGAAGCTTGATGCTAAAAATACTTTGGAGCCCCCTAATTTGCATCTCAATCTGAACAGTGCTACCGTGGTGAGTTCAGGGGGCAGCAGCCCTGGGCCATTTCAACTTGAGATTGTTTTCTGCTGAGGGAATATCGAAACAGATAAAAGGGAGAGAGCAAGAACACAGTCTAATAAAATGTGTTGGAATGCACGTATTTCTGGCTCCTAACCCTTTGAAGCAAATGTCTAGGTATGGAGGCCAAATATCCCTGACGAGAGATGAAATACTCTTGCATTAAAACGCTTATGCAGCAAAGCACTATTTTGTGTGTGTAAACATGCCTATCTTTGAAAATAGAATTTAACAGTAAAGCTTCAAGTGTCCTTTGACCTTGATACTAATATGCCTAATATTACCAATATATTTTTAAACAAAGGCTGAATGTTGGCTGCTCAAAGCAACATGTTGGAGAATTGTGCAACAAGTCAGTTTTAGGTTTTGCTTGTATCTAAAGTTAAATATCTGTCACCCCTTTTCCCCTTGCCTTTCAAAATGTTTTGTTAGAGTCTAATTGAAGCTTGTGTATTTTTGATAGCTGTCTGGCCAATGGATAGATTTCAGCCTTTCAGATGAGATTCCAGCCCATGTGACCTTTAACTTGACGGAGATTTTTAATATTAGATGTCTTAAGATGGAACAGTACAGAAAAAGCATTGCGAAACAGTTGACTGCGCACAGTGTTTGGTTGCAAATGTTTGAAGGTTCAAATTAATTAGTTTCAACTGGTGTTCTTGTGGTTGCTTTACGTTTAACTCTGATAGGAAGTCAAAAGAAAATCTTATTAGTAAATTATGAAGGGAGGCAAAAGCAAATCTTATTTGTAAATTATATAGTGATCGGGGAAGCTTCAAGTCTCTGTTTGGATTCTACCATTGTTAAAGGTTTTGCCTTTAAAGTGCACAATTTTTGCTCACGGGTTTAAAATGCCTGCATTTGTTTACAACTCAAAGTGATGCAATATGATTGGATTGTGTTGGCACCAAGTCTTTTGGAACATTTCTCAGATTTACTGCTGGGCTTTTCAGATTTATATTGTTATGGCATAGATTATGTAAATTTGCAAATACATTCAAATAATGCTCAACCCTTTTGCTGATTGTGGGGTGGGAGAGAGATGAGATACACTATTGTAATCTTTTTACGAGTGGAGTTAACCTTTTCACCAATGAAACTTATTTTCATCTGCACAATACATATATGCAGGAATTGGGAAAACAATGGAACTTCTGTACAGTTTGAGGCATCCAAATTAATCTTTGTCCTGCCGGTTGAATTGCCGTTGGCTATTTGTGGCCCTTCAGTGTAACTGGTTACAAAACTGTGCCAACAGGAATATCTAGGGCTGAACCCTCTATTGTGACGTGTCGTTGAGAGATTCACACCTACAGCATAAGCATTCCTGCTTTCTTGGCTCAGATAATTAAACTGCTAATCTTTGCTTATATATTTCCTTCCTCCCTCTTCCCCAGTCTCTCTCCACCCCCCTCAATAAAGGATTGATCTGTAATCTGTGCTTTGGGAGTTTAATTCAGATGCATTTGAGTATAATCAGCTTGTCAGGAATTTTAATCTCAAAATGTTTCATCCAAATGAATACCACACTGTCTCAGCCTAAACCTATCATGGTGCAGCAGTTTACAGAGGCTGACCTATACCAAGAGAAAGCGTTGTGGGAACCAGACAGTCAGTGAGATGATGATTGTGTGTGTGTGTGTGTGTGTGTGTATCCACGTGTACTGAGACAAACCCAGTTATGTCCTCAGGTTGAGACTCGCACAGGGGTTGGCTGCATTCCAACTGGATTAAACCTCCTGCTGCACAACAAGCAACACCCGGCTGTGATTCTTTCACGCGATGGAAACTTTTTTAATGTGTTCTTTGATCTCCATCCTCTCCAATTCAAACCATTTCTCGTCAGAAATGTGCAGTGGTTTTCGTGTTGCATACCCCACCAGCATCTCAACATTGCTTAGTTTTATTTGAAGAAGAAACTGACATTTTTTAATTATATTCTCCTTGCACACAACAATTTGGAGATTTGGCTCCCAACTCTTTAAATTTGCCCCTGTTCTCCCAGCGACTGCTCCAATTGTTCTTCCGAAGCTGAATGTATATACTGAAAGTCAAGTGCTGAGTCACTGCTTATATACCTATAATACATATATATATTATATATGCGCATACACACATATCACACCTTTTCTGCTGGGGTGTTCTGCCCTAATTGTGATAACTCCTACAGTTTAACTGGTTTCATATAACTCAAGATCAAATGTACTCTCTGCACTGCGGTGGTAAGTTTCCTTT